TAAACTGAGGTCGTACGGCATGAGCACGGGCCCACAGCAAATGATGGGTGTCCCCATAAGCAGAGGGAAACTGGGACAGACAGAGAGAGAGGAGAAAGCCACATGGAGGCAGAAGCCGGAGGTAGGCTGCCACAACCCAAGAGATGCTAAGGACTGCAGGCAAACCACCAGAAGCCAGGACACACTCACGGGACAGCCACTCCCCCAGAGGCTTTGGGAGGGAGCATGCCCTGCCAGCACCTCGATTTCCACTTCTGGCCTCCAAAACTATGACCTAATAAATTTCCATTGTTTTCAGCCACCCAGTTTGTGGTAATTTATTACAACAGCCTCAGGATGGTGGTTGTTCTCACGATTCCAAAATTCAACGTATAAATATCCACTCCCTACAAAGCATGGTTGAGAAAGTAAAACTGCCCACTTCTTTTTCACCGAATTGAAATAAGAGGAAACATTCATGAAAGTGCCTCACGAGCTTTAAGAACACATAATTTTCAACTCGACCCATTTTTATTTATGAAATGCCCATTCCATCTGTCCTGTGAAAAACAGGAACTATTCAGTATCTACTCTTAGAGCAACTATTCATTATGAACAAAGCATTGAGGGCAATGAGAACTCCCAGCAGCACCCCTCCCAAAGAATAGTCTGAATTCTAACAGGAAAACCCTAAAGTGAGGGAAGAAGGTCACTGAATTTTGAGAAATGTAGACAAATGTTGAGACCCTGGAATCGAAGTCAATAGCATTTTGCAGAGAGTAGCTGCTCAATAAATGTTTAATGAATTAGTAAATTATTAATTAAAAATGTATCAGGATTATTAGCCTTTCTACATTTTCTGCCTTAGTACTCACGGTTCTGAATAGTAAGTCTGTATATCCAGTTAAACCACGACTACATTAACTCAAAATATTTTAAATCAATGAGTTAAATACACCAGTCAAGAATTTGTTCATACATTTGACAGGATTTCCTGAGCCCTACTGCCGCCATGGAGTCTGGTTGAATGGATTCAACACTGAACAAGAAAGACACGGTCCGTGCCTTCCTGAAGCTTCAGTTAGGCAAAATGGCATGGACAGTCCACCAAGAACCACACAGACGAAGTCTAAGTGTGAGCTGGGCGACAAGGCACCACAGAGACGCATAAGGGAGTAGGGACAGAGGCCCAGGCCCCGGAAAGGCTTTGTAAGAGAATGCATATTTGCAGTTGAATCCTTTAGCGGGATCTAACAGAAAGAACAAGACAGGTACAAAAGGCATGTGATGAACTGAGGAGAGGCCAGCACCTGGCACACGGGGGAGGTACCACACGTGAGGTGCAGATGGAAGCATGCATGGAGTCCCAGCGGGCTCTGAACAACCTGGAAGGACACAGGGGACCTTCACTTACATCCCAAGCCACACGACGCTTGCATGCGGGAGCCAGATGCAGATGGCAGATGAGAACATTAATTTAACATCTTCCTAAACTCTAACCAAAATTCCAGTAAAGAATTTTTTTTTTAAGACACGAACCCTCTCGATAGCGACAAAGGTAGGGAAGCAAAAATGCAGATCAACAAGAAGTGACTAATTTAACACCATCAACAGAGCCAAATCCCAAGGCTTCAGCAGCTAAGTTGAGAACCAACCCAAGGAAACTGCAGAATCCTTGGGAGACCAGAAACCAGTAATACCACATGGGCCTAAAACTGGGAGCGAATGTGGGATGCCTGGGGTGGGGGTGGGGGGGGGTTGCAGACGGTTGAGCGCCTGACTTGGTTTCAGCTCAAGTCATGATCTCAGGGTCATGAGATGGATCCCCAAGTTGGGCTTGGCGCTCAGTGGGGAGTCTGCTTGAGATTCTCTTCTCTTCCCTCTAGCCCGCCCCCACCCCTCCCTGTGCTGGCACATGCTCTCTCTGTCTCTCAAATAAATAAACAGAATCTTAAAAAAAAAAAAAAGCTGGGGGTAAATGGGAGCAGATGAGGGAAGAAGTCCCCTTCCCTACTCCAAAAGATCAACTGTCCTCCCAGTCTCCTGCAGACAGGGTGAAACACATGGCCCCTGGACCGCGGGTGGAGGTACCTGGGCCCTCGGTGCCGAAACCCCGGCCCTCTTCTGCCCCACTCACTCAACACCACCAGCGGCTGGACTTTGAGCCCCAGGCTGGAAGCCAAAAACCTTCCCCTGGAAAATCAGCACCATACAATGAAGTAGCTCTCCAAGGTCACCTACACTGACCACCTCTGCCTTCAGCTTTCTAACCCCTCTCTTACTCAAGAGCCACAGTCAAGGATTTTCAGCCTCCAACAAGAACAGCAGGAACCAAACCAACATGAAGGAAACAAATTATTCAGGGGAAAAAAGAAGACTTTCAAAAAAACAGTAATTCCAACAAGATAAACTCATGCATCCATGTGGTACAAGGAGAGGAGGCTATAAACAGCATTCAGCAAAAACCCACCAAACAAGCGCTCGTAAAAACAGGACAGCACAAATAAGTTCAGAAAACTTCTTAAAGTGCCACAAACAGACAAGGAAATGAAAAGTAGAACTGAAAGGGGAAAAAAAAAAAAGTATAAAGCCAGTCCAGGAATAGCACGTCCACATACTCACAGATCAAGAAAGCAAAAGAACAGTGGAAGACATCATTTTAAAAAAGAAACATCCCCAAATTAAAGGCATGAGCTGCAGACACCAGAGGTGGCCAGCACTGTGGAAGAAAAGAGATGTCCACCATGGCAATCCGCTGTGAAATTGCAGGACAATGGAGGAAAATACAAGAGTCCAGAGAAGGGAGGGGAAAATGGAGTGATACCTCTAAATTCTTGAGAAAAGTGACAGTGAGCCTAGAATTCTTTACCCAATCAGTGAAGCATGAAGACAGAATAAAGACATTCTCACTCAAAGCGAGAAGGATACTGAAGGCCACCATCTTGAAGATGGCTTGCGGCGTTGCCTCATCTTCATGACCTGAGGGGAGAACGCCAAAGCACGGCAGACCGAGGCTGCCGACAGTATTTGACTCATTCTGACCAAACACTACACAGGTTCCCAGTCCCTGCTCTAGGCCCTGCTGCCTGGAGCCGAGGAGAACATTCCATTCACTTCACAGAAGAGTAGTGCTTGGGCCTGTTCCTGGAACAGAGTAAGCTATAAAAACAGAAAATATAAACCAACTGGTTCCTGTCCCTATTTCTCAGGATGTCCAGTACCTGGAGTTCAGCTGCAGCTCTGGCAGATGGCTCAACTACGATAAACCCTAATTCTCTTAAGACCAGCTCATGACTTTGTTGACTCTTGTCAACTGAGGAAAAGCAAAGCCAGCTTATTGCCCAAACATCATCCAGCTATTTTCCCCTCCGAAGAGCAGGAAAAGGCCTCTTCTTTTTTTATTTTTTTAAAGATTTTTTTTTTTTTTAAGTAATCTCTACACCCAACGTGGGGCTCAAACCCACAACCTGGAGATCAAGAGTCACACCCTCCTCTGACTGAGCCTGCTAGGTGCCCCAGGCAAAGGCCTCTTCTGAAACAAGTAGGCTTAGACCTGCTTCTTACCTTGTCAGAAGCAAATACATAACATTTAGGAAGACATACACCAGCAGTAACACTACAGAGAGAAGCAGCGAAATGATCCCCACAAAAGTGAGTGTACCGGGTCCCCTCGAAGAGGCAGGGAAGGACACGCTTCTGGTGGCGACCTCTCATGTCTAGACCGGAGGTGCGTATTTGTGCTTTCGTCCATTACGCTTTGAGCTCCTCACAGGTGTAGAATATACTTCAAAAGAAAACCTATTTTGTCAAGAGTGAGGGACATGATCCAGTGTATACACTTAAAATATTACGAAGGCCACCGTGAAGAGAGTGGACACCAACTGTCAGGGTCCCCGGGGAGACACGCAGAGGCCATGGAGCCACGTAAGTTAGGGAAAAGCAAAAGCTGTGTTTCTTTCTTATTTTTTATCTCAGTTAGCAAAAAAAAAAAAAAAAATGCCTAAGACATCGTTTTACTTCCAGCGATCACTACCCCCCAGCAGCCTATTCCATCTATGCTGTTCTTCTAATACAGGAAGATCAAAACACTGTAAAAGTCATCTACCCAATTACCTCAGAACATAATTTCATCCCTAGTTTCAAAAGCCATCTTTTTAAGTCCAATTCTACAACAAGGAAAGTGCAGATCGAGAAGGTTCACAATTTGCCATGACGGGTTCCAATTCTGAGTGAGGCCTTCGGGGTAACTGGAATTCAGGAAGCCCGCGCCCAGGCCCTCAACTCTTGCTGCCCGTGGCACCTCACACCATCGGCATCTTGGTCTCCTCAGGGGACGCGTGTGGCAGAAATGTGCCCCCTCGGGCCTGGAAAACCACTTTCCTCCAGCCAACAGTGACCACGTTTGAGCCACCCAAGGACTTGGGGTCCAGGGAGAGGGAGAACGTTTCGGGACTCCCTCTGGCCCGCACGGATCATCGCCCACAGCTTCCTATTCATCTACGTAGAAGTGTCAGGCATCATTTTACAGTGGTAAGAACCTGGTGATCCATTTCAGTTGTGTGTCCCCCTCCCTTCTGTTAGCACCCCCCAGGCCTACTGCCCATCGGATACTCACACACATTTCTCGGGCCATCCAGGAAACTGAACCATCAAGAGGAGCATCACTTTCTATTATTTTTACCAAACAAATACCAAAAATAGACTTGCTACATGTCCTGTTCCTTTCGTAAGGGGTGAGGGAGCGCACACGAGGTGCTATTATTCTATAATAATACAACATGGAGAAAAGCGGTAAAGCCACAGAATTCCAGCCAGGCTCCTGTAATACGAGGAATTTGTGAAGATGACAAAACAGGGCAAAAGCACACAGGTAACATTTTAAACATTTCAAATGGGACCCGGCCGAGCAGGTAGCTCTTCCAACCGTGGAAAATGATGGGCTGTGAGAAACTTTTCACTGGAGAATGGTTAGTGTGAAGAATAGTGAAGAATAAACAAGTCGCCACGAACCCACATCTTACCTTAAACACTTCCATTGGAAGAGGAAAGTGTGCGGCATCAGTAAGGGATTTTTCCAGAGCACATTTCCACTCAGACGCCATCTTCAAAGGATAGATTTCTGTATCAACAGCAAACCACATAAGCGTTTAAGGACTAAAATATTCTGCGGGGTGGTTCTCCCTTTGAATTTTATATCTGCCAAGTTCTCAGAGTCACTCGGCATCCTCAGCGACCGTAAGAACTCACACCCTGCCCCATAAAAGGCCACCTGCTAACGGGATTTTTACTGTCAGTAAAAAGCTCTTAGTAGCTTCTGACAAGGTAAAGAGCAACTTGAGACTCTGCGATCAGAAATGAAGACTAAACTTCACAGGGCCCTTCGGGGAACATTTGCATGCATTCTGTGGGCATTCCGTAAGTAATTTATTGGCATAAATCACATTAGCACCATCTTCAGTCATCCGCTGCCCCAAATTCCATGCATCACCTGGGAAGTAATATCCACTGATGAAGAACTTGTTATCGGATAAATTTCTAAACTAGAAATGACTCTTGTCTGGCATTTTCAGATATTACAGCATATTTTTCACTAAATCTCTAAGCTCTCGTACACTAAAAATAGCCCCTGTAAGCCAGAAAATTATTAAAAGGTAAATTAAAATTTACCAACCAAGTTTAATATTTACACTTGAAATGTTGCTAACACACCACATGTTGCCCATATTTTCCCCCCAGGCGGCGGGGTGGGGGGAGGGGGGTGGGCAGAGAGATTTACGAACGGAGGTTACGCTGGCTGAATGCAAAACTGAAAGAAAAAAATTTGTTGAGCACTGTTTTCACCAATTGCTGAGACTGCAGGGGGATTTTATGATCTGACTTCAACGGATTTAAGACCTTATCAAAATAGGATTTGCAGAGGCACTCACTTGAAGAAGATATGTTTATACCTTCCCTATATCAACCCAGGCTATTTCAGACAGACAGACAGGACATGAATATGAATTTAAGCACAGTTAAAAGGCAACATTAAACCTTTGGGGCTATATTTTTAATTTCTTGCATGTCTGCTTTTCAGCACGCAGCCGTATATTTCGATGCCCACAGCTTCTGAACTCACCTTGAGCCTGAAGCTCCTGTGTTTCAAGCAGTTTATTGAGTCTTTTCAGACTCCCATAATTATGATGGGAGAGAGATGCTGCCGGAAGGAGTCAGGTTATCAAGGCACAGCCCCCTGTCACTCACGGTTGGTTACGCAAAGTCCCGTAAAGGGTTATTAATGACAAGAGAGGCTCTACTGTGGATATTGTCTATAATCCTTTTAAGCCTTTTATTTATACTCTTCTACCTTGGGGGAATTTTTTTTTTCCAATTTGGCATTTCTATATCAGAACAAGAATAGAATGTGATTCCTCTTAGTAGCTTCTGACATATTTGGGGGAACACAGTGAGGCCCCAGTTAACACCTGTGCAGAAAACGGACGAATGGTCCCTCCAACATCCACAGGTGAGCAGAGGTGCTGAGGGAGAAATCGCGCATCACGGGGCCCCACAAAGGAGGAAGAGGGACCAGTTCACAGCCTTCTGAATTGTCCCGGGAGGATGGGAAGATGGTTCAGCTCAGGGGCACTGCATCAAAATCCCAGTGGAGGAGATGCAACTCAGAGGGCTCTAGGAGGGAAAGACCTGAGGACACCAGGGCAGGAGGTCATGAGGGGCTCAGGATGGGAGCAACACGCAAAAGCCTAGGGTTCCTGAGGAGGCGAGAACAAATTCACTTTCCCAGGGATCTGGAAGCTGGCCAGGGAGTTCAGCCTTGGCATGGTAGTAAAAGGAGAAGCAAGTCATGAGAAAGGATGGCGACTGCCAAAGACAAGACAGGAAAAGTGGGGAAGGCAGGAGAAGGTGCACTGCGTTGGCGCCTGAACTCCCGTCGTCTGGGGGCGGGGGAGCCCCTGAGACAGAGAGGAGGGCGAGAGAACAATGGTGCAAGACCTAGAGCAGAAGCCCAGCTGGCCAGAGTTCGAGCCGGACTCCCAGAACCGAAGCCAGGTGACCTAGAGACCCCCGCAGGGGTGCTCGCCCTTCCTGACACCTGTGTCCACACGCACCTGGCAGGGCGCCACTGGGCCCACGTCATCCCTGAGAGTCGAGCCCCCCGTCTTCCTGATGCCATCTCTCTCCCAGCAAACCAGAAGCCTGGGGCCACGGGCTGAATGTTGCTGTCCCCCCAAAGGCACACATGGAAATCCTAACCCCCAAAGTGATGTTTAGGAGGTGGGGCCTTTGGGAGGTCATGGGGGGAGCCCCCATTAATGGCATTAGTGAGTGTCCTTACAAAGGAGAGCCCAGAGAGCCCCCTCGCCCCTCCCCCCATGGGAAGACACTGCAAGAAGGCCCCCGTCTGCGACCCAGGAAGCAGGCCGGGCCCTCAGCAGACGTCAAATCTGGGGGTGCCTGCATCTCAGGTTTCCAGCCTCCACAACTGTGTGAGAAATGCATGCTGCCGTTTAGAAGCCACCAGGTCTGTACTATTTATTCTCTGTAGCAGCCTGAATAGACCAAGAAACCCAGGTTCCTCAGGATTTGGGTCTCTGTCCTACAATCCTAAGATCCTTTGTCTTCTTTCTGAAGCTATAAAGCCCTAATCTGGAATGCAACCCCATGGCAAGGCCCACTTCTCTTAAAAGGTGAAAATCAGATGCACTTTTTTCAGTATGCTCAACCACCTGCAAAAGCTAAACACCTAATGGTTTCAATAAGCAGTGAACAATATTCCGTGTGTGTGTTTCATTAGCCAGAGAGCTGCTTGGTTACACCGGCAAGTTTATGGACAATAAATAGCACCATTAAAAGAACATAAACCATTTTCTTAAAATGATTGTGTTGCAGGTAATTTAATAGAGTGTATCATGTCGATTTCTGTTTGTGGGGAAGTAATAAGCAATTAAAATCGGGCCTGATCCATCTTTAACTAGAAGCCTACGTGAAAATGAGGCGATCCCCCTCTGCGCAAGCGTTTGGCTGGCTCTTGGCAAAGGTGAGAGCTGCCGAAAGCAGGAGACCACCAGCTCACAGCCTCAGACTAAATGAAGGCCTGGGGCGGTGATCCCCTTCTTCATGTACCCTGCAACCACCTCTCCTTCCTTTTCTCACCAGTAAGCAAAGACTGGTCTATGGCTGTTAACAGATGTTGGGAAGGCTATAAATGTTCGTGTCTCCCCCCAAGTAATATGTTGAAGCTTTAACCCCCAACGGGATAGTATCTGGAGATGGGGCCTTCGGTGGGGGGGGAGAGTTGGTAATCAAGGTTAGATGAGATCATAAGGGTGGGGTCCCCATGATGGGATTAGTGCCCTTATAAAAGAGACCCCAGAGCTCTCGGTCTCTCCGGGTGCACATAAAGAAGAGACCATCCACAAATCAGCAAGTGGGCTCTCCCCAGAACTCAACCCTGCCGACACCCTCATCTGGGATCTTCCAGCCTCCAGAACTGTGAGAAAATCATCTGTGTCGTCTGAACCCCCCACTCACTGGCATTTCTTTATGGCCACCTGAGCTACCTGATACAGAGAGCGTTTGGGGGCTGTTTCTCGACTAAGAAATAGTTCACAAGCTTCTCGACTCCAGGAATTATCTAAAAGAAAAAGAAAAAAGAAAAGGAAAAGGAAAAGGAAACGTTGACATAAAGATTGCAAAGGCAAAAATATAT